TTTCTTGTATAAGATGTTGTTTGAATGCTTGTTTTCAATCATCTGGGCTATACACCAAGAAATGGAATTGCTGGATCATATGGTAATTCTGTATTTAATGTTTTGAGGAACTAACTGTTTTCTAGAGTAGCTATACCATTTTAAATTCCCACCAGCATGTATGAGTATGCAGTTTCTCCACATATTTGTCAACACTTGTTATTTTCCATTTTTTAAAATAACCATCCTAATGGGTATGAAGTGGTATCCCAGGTGATTTTTTTTTTTCTTTATTTTTATGGAGAAATTTATCAGTGACTTTTAAAAAACATTTTGGCCTAAAAGATATATGGAAGTTTTACCCTGTGTTCCACTCCCCTTTTTGCTCTGTTCTCAGTGTTTACAAATTAATAAAAATACCTGGCATTCGTTAGACATCTGCTGTGTGCATGGAGTTGTGCTGAGCTCTTCATTTGCAATAGTGCATTTACCCACCACGGGTGCACTTGATTTCACCAGCAACCCAGATTCCTATACAGAAGCAACCCAGAAAGTAGTAAAGGAGAGTAAGTATGTCCCAATAAAGAAACTTGAAATAGGAAGAAACAATTTTCCAAAGCCATGTACATTTGGGAATAATAATGCTTATTACAGAAGGAAATTCTCTTTGCAAGGTTCACCTCAGGGTGTTGTTAACGGCGAGCTCCCCCAATTCATTAAACAAACATTCAGTGTACTGAATCTGAAGAATGGACAACTATTTCAGGAGGTCATCTGCTATGTTAAATGAGGCATTACTAACCACTTATTTGCTTGTTAGTCCTGCCTCCCAAGTCCTATTCAGCAGAAGCAGATGAGAGTATGCTCAATGGGACAAAAGAGATGAGAACAGAAAAGTGTCTGCTGCATTTGGTAATTAGAAAGTCACGGTGATCATATTTTAAAAAGCAGTTTGTGCACTGGGTGAGGATAGGGCTGAGAAACGCAGCACGGAAGGCAGTACCAAAGCCAGTTTTGTTTTGGGGTTGGGGAGGTTGGGGGTTGAGAAATCAATGGAAAGAGAAGAAGTCAAGATAAGTGACTCTTTTCGAAAAGGTTGAATGAGACAGGAAGGAGAGTAGAGAAGATGTAAACTCAAGGGATGGTTCGATTGTTTCATTTCACATAGAAAGAAATTCAACCATAGTTTTGTAGGTTTGGGAATAGAGCTGGATGAGCAGGAGATGTTGAAGGTACAGGGAGGAGAAGGGCTTATCAGTTCACCCTCTGATCAGGTGCACCATAGTGAACTAATGGGTCAAGGACACGGGTGAAATAGCTTTGGGGAGAGGTATGTTGCCCACTGGGACCTGAGCAATGGAAGTGAGGGTAGTGCCCAGTAGATGGTTTTCTCTGGAGGAAGCAAAATGGTGAGAGAATTTCCATGTGATGCTCTTACACCTGCTTTCTGCCTAGCATGAAAAGTTGGGGTATGAGAATGGCTGCCTAAAGGAATGGAAGAGGGACTGAGCAGAATAAAGGAAATCATAAAGGCTGACCATATCCTATTAAGATAGCTTCTCTGGTGCCTCTGACTGGCAGAATATTGGGCTGGATGCCCTATATATCTGACCCGGTACCACATTTCTAATATTCTACCTAAGTATAGGCACCACTAGGTGTCAAACTCGGACACGTCATCCCCATGTACCTCTGTGATTTTATTCCTGGCTCTGTTCCCCTCTTTCATTTCCAGATCTTTCCACTGTGCCCGTTAGAACTCTTGCTCTGTTGTAAAGAAATCCCCCAGTATTCTTAGCCTCTTCTCTGAAGATTCCCATCACCTCTAGGTTTACATGAACACTGGATGTCCCTGAAGACTATCAGTCCCCTGAAGCGTCCACCACTCCTGCAACAAAAGCACCCAAATTTCTAGTGAGTGTTTACTCTGTGGTAGGAGTCATTCAAAGCACTTTCAGCATATAAGCTTATTTAATCCCTTAACAACCCTATGAGGTTGGTACTATTGTTATCTAGTTTTTTGAAAATGAGGAGACTGAGGTACCAAGAAATTATAGAACTTGACCAAAGGCAAACAGTTGGTAGGTGTCAGAGGTGAAAGGTGAACCCAGGAAGCATGGCTGAAACATACTGACTTTCCAAAGTTCTTTCAGGTTGAGGCTGTTGAATTCCTCCATACCCAAGTACTTCATTCCTGGGAGTGCTGGCGTTGCCCATTCCTAAATCTTTTAAAGGTTTTGTGTTATAAATCTAGGTCACGTTTTGGATTATCCACCCCAAGTGGCTTAGTGTCTCATTTTTATGGGTTGGCTAAGTCCGCTAGTCCTTGTTGCTGTATCTTATTTCTGGCTTCTTTTGTCCTTCAAGGTTTGTAACTTAAAAGAAAAAAAGTCTCTTGCCACGTGACGGGGTTTGAGGAGGTTGTGGACTTAAATGGATGCGTTTAATCTCACATTTTGAACTTGAACTGCTAGGTTGGTTTAAAATTAGAAAATGTATTTATTTAGCACTTAACATATTAAAGAAAAAAACATGTGATTGTCTTGGTAGACCTAAGAAAGCACATGCACTTTGACTTGGCCATCCTTGTCCTGGTTTATTCCCTAAAGAGACCTGTGTATGAACCCAGAATGCACCTGCGGGAGTGTTCACAGCAGCGTTGTCATTAGTGCCACACAGCTGTGAACCATTCACATGTACACAGTCAGGAGAGTAGATGGACAGATTGTCATATGGTCGTATATATAGCGCAAGACTATGGAGCAGTAAGATGATTTTCCTACAGCTTAACGTGCATCAATGTGGGTAAGTCCCAGAAAGATAGTATTGAATGACAAAAGCACAGTTCCATTTTTTATGAAGTTCAACAAACAGTACATTCAATACAAAAACAAGTTCAACAAACAATACATTGTTTTAAAACTATAAAGTATAGGAGGCAATGAACAGAACATTTAGGATTGTGGTTCCCTCATGAGAACAGGAAGAAGTGGAGATCTGATCAGGAGTCAGTTGTCATCGGTGATGTTCTGGTTGTCAAGTTGAGTGATAGTGTGATGGGTACTGGTGTCGTCATGCTTTATGACTTAGAGAGATATAGTATATGCTCTTTCTTTCATTGTGGTAAAAACCATAAAATTTACCGTTTTGACCATCTACAATTCAGTGACATCAACTACATTCACAATGTTGTACACCATCATCACCTTCTGAGAAGTTTCAGAAATTTTTTGTCACCCCAGAAGGAACCCTTGTGCCCACGAAACAGTCACCCCCTTTATCATTCCTCCAGCCCCTGGCAGCCATTAATCTGCTTTCTGTTTGTATGGATCTGCCTATTCTGGACATTTCACATAAATTGAATCATATAGTATATGGCCTTTTGTATCTGGCTTTTTTCACTTGCCATAATGTATTCAGGGTTCATCCACAATGTAGTACGTTTCAGTACTTCATTCCTTTTTATGGCCAAAAATATTCCATTGTATGGATATATCATATTTTTTTAATCCATGCACCCATCAATGAATATTTGGATTGTTTTCACCTTTTGGCCATTGAAAATAGGGCTGCTATGACCATTTGTGTACAAGTTTTTGTTTAAACACCTACTTTCAATTATTTTGGGCATTTATCTATGAATGGAATAGCTGAGTCATATGGTAATTTTATCTTTAACTTATTGAAGAACCATCAGACTGTTTTCATAGTGGCGGTACCATTTCACCTTTTCAGCAGCGATGTACAAGGGTTTCTGTTTCTTCACGTTGTCACCAACACTTGTTCTGGTTCTTTTCTTTCCTTTTTTAAAAATTATGGACATCCTAGTAGGTATGAAGTATATATGTATCTTATTATGGTTTTGATTTGTACTTCCTTAATTACTAATGATGTTGAGCCACTGTTTTGTGCTTTATCTTCTCTGGAGAAATATCTATCAGATCATTTACCCATTTTAAAAATATATATTTTAATTGACACGTTTAATTGTATATATTTATGGGGTACAATCTGATGTCTTGATACATATGTATGTTATATAATGATCAGGTCAGGGTAGTTAGTGTATCCATTATCTCATGCATTTATCATTTCTTTGTGGTGGAAACATTCAAAACCCTCTCCTCTAGCTATTACGTAATATGCAAAACTTAACTGTTAACCATAGTCACCCTACTGTGCAATAGAACACCAGAACTTATTCCTGCTAATTGTAATTTTGTAACTGTTGTATTTGCCCATTTTTAATGTAAATTTTCTTATAATATTTTATAACTCAAACGTTCAAAAATTGTGCATAACAGATAGTCTCTTTCCTTACAGTGGTAGTAATGAGAAAGGCCTTTTAAATTAAGCATTTGATCAAGCTATTATGGGAGTAGATTAAAGTTCAAAGATCCCTTGGTAGGCAGGTAGTTTTAAATTTCCCACAATATTGACTCACAGTAAGTGTGATAGAGAAATTTGTTTGCATAAGGGGAGTAAAGGAAATTATATTTTATAGAACTTTTAAGTGTAAACCTAAATTTAAAAAATTGGCTTAGAAAAGGTACTTTTTAGATACATGGGTTTGCCTGCTATTCTTGTTTTTTCATTCACCAAGTTCTTTTGCCCCTCGAACTGGTATAGAATCTTAAGATATTTAAATAAATTTTTGTGTGGTTGATATTGTCTGCCTTCTTTCCTTAGACTATCTTTCTCATCTTGTGTAATTTTCCCATTATATCATCTGTACATAATGCAGTGTAAAGATAGCTATACTGTTGAATTTACTGGATAAATATTGGCTTTTCTGTATTTCAGGGGCAGTGTCATAGTATTTTATTCCTTGCATTATAAAATCGATGGGGTAGTTGTGATTTACTCCATCTATATTTTTAAGAATCTTTATATTGATGCAACATGAAGATCTGACTAGTTAAGAACTACTGCTCTGACAGTAATAGGAGTTATTTGCTAGTCTGGTGGTTTTTTCTTTCACCATCTCATCGGTTACTCTGATAATTTTTTTGTCTTCATAGCCGCTTCCTGAGAAGTTCGTGGTGAAAGGTGTCGTGGATCGTTTTTCAGAAGAGTTTGTGGAGACCAGAAGAAAAGCTTTGGATAAATTCCTAAAAAGAATTACAGATCATCCTGTGCTCTCTTTCAATGAACATTTTAATGTTTTCCTTACTGCTAAGGTAAGGGCAGATTTTTGCATATTCCACCCCTGAACTGTCATTCTTAGGGCTCTCTTAGAAGCCGTTTTGATTTCTCACAAGCCACCATCGTGAATGGTCTACTACATCAGGTGTGATAAAATTGCCCTGTTCTTTTCATGTCCATTTGCATTAGCTTGGTTTCTGTTAGAATTTGGGAGAACACCCTCCTCGCCCATACTTAAAGCAGCAGAGGAAGTTAGAATATTTTCACTTGCCAAAAGCAGAGATAGATGTTAAACACCTTTTGGTAATGTTATGGGGGAGGCCAGTCTGACCAGCAATGGATGCAGAAGGGAAAAAACACAGGAACCCTCTAAGAGATTATTCATAGACTCATTTTACAGACAAGGAAACTGAAGTTCAGGGAGTTTGTACTTGTTCTTGTGGCATCGCTAGGATTTGAAATTGGGTCTTTGTGGCTCCTGAGGCCACACTTTCCCTCTGATTGGACTGCCTGACCGTTACTTGCCTGCAACCACGTTTCTATCAGGTGGGCATTTTCCACATGTCTGCCAGAGAAATTCCTACACAGTTGCCAGATGCTGTGTATTCAAACTCAATTTGATTGTTCACTGGCTTTTCTCCGCACTTCCCTGTTGGCAGAACTCGCCAGAAAACCTGAGGTGCTTCATGCTCATTGTCTGCAGAAATGGGGTCATATGCTCAGAGTCTCCGCTTCCTTCCAGCCCCGTCTGTTTAGTTTCAGGTATCATATTTCCATATTCAGGTTATACGTAACACATTCCGTGTTGGCAAGGCTACTGAGGTCCAGGTACTTTCCAGTTTTCTTTTTCAAAATTGCAAAATTGAGAAGTATTTGTAGATAACATCAGTTGATATTAAAGGCTTTAGAGAGGGTTCCATTCTCTACTCAGTGGAAACCACATGAGGAAGTCTTTCAGTTTTGCTTTGTTTTTTAACCTCAGTTGGCAGGTAAGCTTGTTGCTGACATTTCCATTCATTATCTCTTTATCACAGAGGACTTTTCTCCCACAGGTTGAACTTGTGCACTTTTTAAAAAATATTTCCTGGCGAACCTATCCTCTGGTATAGTTCTTTCAATATATAGTCAAAGGAAAAACCATCCTGTTCTCTAGAAGTACAGCTCACTTTCTCACCCTAGTTACAGGTCCATTTTCAGAAGGTTCTCAAGCTCAGTCATCTGCATTGAACAAAAAAGAAAAGAGGGGAAAAGCTTGGACCTCTGGTCATTACGAATCTGTATGAAGAATAAGTAGGAAAGCTCTGTGTGTGCGTGTGTGTGTGTGTGAGTGAGAGAGAGAGCTATTTATCTATCTGTGGGGCAAGCCTTATGAAAATGATTTTAAAAAACATATAAAGTCCTTCAGTATCTCAATCAAAACCTAACTTCACATGCGTGAATACGAGAGGTGACTTTAAACAGAACAAGTTCTAGCCCTAGTTCAGTATTACTTGCTGAACTAAATGCACTAAATAGCCTTACCTTTTCTTTTAAAAAAATTTTTAAAAGCTTTTTAATTGTGGTAAAATACACATAACATCATACTTTTTTGCCTTGACCTACAGGAAACTTAGGGTTAAAATGTTTTGTCATTTACAGCATCTGTCCTTGGCCTCAGTTGTCTGCCGCAGCTTTTTTTGTAGCCACTTCCTGCTTTCTACCCTTTACTCTCAGATTCCTTATGTGGCTTTAGTTTGGGTGTAAAAAAATGAGTGGCATGAATCTCACAATCTCAGCTCTTCAGTTTTGCTCCTAAAGATGACATAGGTTATTTTGCATGACAGAAAGGGACACTTTTTATTTATTTTTAGTCTGAAGTTATAAAAATTCTCTTAGCAGCAGTGTTGTGTCTCAAGGACCATGTGCTCTGGTGAGTGAACCTGATGAGAGAGATTGGAGCCCAGCTCTGTTGAAAGGGATTTGGGTGTAAACGTGTGAGTGTGCGTCTGGGTATAAACATGTGTGTGCATCTGGTGTAAATGTGTGTGAGTGTGCATCTGGTGGGTATGATGCCAAGGAGAGGGGATACTTCTGTGTGTGTGATTAGGGCCTCTATGTCAGCTTCTTGTTTTCTGAGTCCTTCATCACCAAAAAGAAGCTGCCTGTAGGAGTTGGTTTACTTAGTGCTGGCTGTGTGAGAGTTTGTTCCTGTGTTGTCCCCAGGACCTGAACGCCTACAAGAAGCAGGGGATAACATTGCTGACCAGAGTGGGCGAGTCGGTAAAGCATGTCACCAGCGGCTACAAGCTGAGGAGCCGGCCTCTTGAATTCGCAGCCATCGGTGAATACTTAGATACGTTTGCACTCAAACTGGGGACCATTGATCGAATAGCCCAGCGGATCATCAAAGAAGAAATAGGTGAGCTGTTTGTTGAGATCTTGATCGGCACATTGGCAGAAATGGCATTCATGTGTGCTAAGCAGAATCAAACGGCAAAAATGCTGGAGTGTCGGAACTAGGCCATATGTTACTAATGAAACAAATAAATACAAGCGAGGAGGGGCTAGTTGGCCTAGAGTGTAATTGTGCACTCCATCCCTTGTCCCACATCTCAGCTTTGTGTTTGCTGTTACCAGGCCAAACCATCACTTCTGAGCCTCTAGGCTTTTCCTCTTTCATCTCTCTTAAGGTCAATTTTAAAAGTGGAGACATGGCAATGACTCTTCATCCATAGCAATGATAATTTCAAAAACAAACGTAGGTATCTTTTCTGGCAGAAAGACGGTTTGAAAGGACAGCATGGTGACCTGTGTTTGTTAAGGTGATGACCCGTAAGCCTTCAGACTTGAAATTGACCCACCTGGTCCACCCCAGCTTCTTTTCAAACCCACTCCTCCTGAGCTGGGAAGTTGCCAAGGCCTCTGTTGATCCTACCTGGTTGTAGTCACTGCTTCCTTCCCACCCCTCTCGTGGCCACCTGCTTTGCCATATCCCAGAACATTGGGGTCTTTTGCCTCCTTACACACGTGTAGGCCAGACAGACATGAGCAATGTTAATGATCATGCTGGCACATGCAACACATTGAAGAAGATTCTCCAGCAGTTGCCATTCATTGGTTACTAAACCATGGCAATGACAATCTGTTGTAATGGCAAGAATCCTGGTGACAAATGATGGGCCACATTTTCTTTGTAGGGTGTAAAAATCAACATTATTCCGTGTTCCCTGTGCTTGTTCCCTCTCCTTTACCCACTGATGGTATCTTGTACAGATTTTGGAGATAGCTTTGGGTACCATCCACACCTAAGGAGCATGTGAGTAAATTCTGATGGGACCAACATGTTGGGATGACCACTGAGTGAGTGAGTGAGTGAGTCTACCTATGTAAGACCACATCTCCTGTATCAAAATGTTTCCTAAAATTTCATTGCTTTTCCATTGTGACTGGATTTTTTTCCTTTAAAAACATTCCCCAAACCTATATGAAACTCTACCCACGTTGCCTGCTAACATACTGCTTCCCAGTATGGGAGGCAAGTTGTTATTTCTGAAGATGTTTGGTGCCTATAGCTCCTACCACTTTCCCCCAGAAGGCATTGTCATCCCTGTTATCCAGAGACATGACATTCCCATTATGGGGTGAAATGGATTGATCTTAGGATGTTAGCTGTAACATTAGCTTTTAGAAGTTTAAAGAATTACATGAGAAACAGTGTGTTTAAAGGAGAGCATGCTCAGGTGAGTGAATGATCAAGGAAACAAGTTTTAATATAGACTGCTCTCGGCTATGGTGATTATGAATCAGTAGCACAAGCAATTGCTACCCAGGCAGATCTTAATTAATCCCTCTTCCTCCTGCAGAGTACCTTGTAGAGCTGAGAGAGTATGGGCCTGTGTACTCCACATGGAGTGCATTAGAGGGTGAGCTGGCTGAGCCCTTGGAGGGCGTGTCAGCTTGCATTGGGAACTGCTCTACAGCCTTGGAAGAGCTGACGGATGACATGACAGAAGACTTCCTACCTGTGCTCAGGGAATATATTTTATATGCTGACTCCATGAAGGTAAGCTGGCTTGCTTCTTGTGCATGTAGGTACTTTTTTTGTAACAATCATTATGAAAAAGTAGGGCTGGCCAGTTAGCTCAGTTGGTTAGAGTATGGTGTTATAACACCGAGGTCAAGGGTTTGGATCCCCAAGCTGGCCAGCTGCAAAACAAACAAACAAACAAAAAAAGAAAACAAAGTAATGTATTATTTTCTATTTGCATGTGGTGCAAGTTTCCTTCTTCCTGGGTGGGCAGGACCAGACATGTGGACTGACGTCACAAACATGTAAAGAGAATACCTGCTGACCTGTGTATGTGAATTAAATGAAAAAATAGTTTGGAAGAAATTCTTATTAGTCTTTTCTGAGAGTTCAAGGAGATATGATGTCTACTAAAGAAGAAGAGGATGCTAGGGAAAAAGATAATTTTAGATAATTAGTGCTCCTGGAACTTAAAATACAATGGCTAAAATAAGATTGAATAGTAAAGTTGGAAGATAAGGTTGAGGAAAGTAAGACAAACAAAAGTAGGAAAGTAGAACCAAATTCAAAAGTACTGAAAATGTGTAAGAAAGATAAGAAACACAGAAGATTAATCCCAAAGTTTCAGCATCTGACTGATAAGAGAACAGGGAAAAGTGAAGGAAGGAAATTATGGAGTGAGGATGAAATGCTTTAGTGCCCACACTGGAAACTTCCCCAGCCTGCACATAGACCGGCTGGAGAACATAGCTTCAGGGGACTCCTACGATGGTGGCATCAGTTAGAAAAAAGGGCCCACCTTCCTGCCCAACAGAAAAAGATATGTGGCTCAGTGCTGAACATCCCCACCCCTAAGTAGCACACTTCCTATTTTCCAAAGGAGTCTCTGAATTATTAATCTGTCTTTGGAGCAGATCTAGAGCATCCCATTAAGAAAGACCTGGGTAGGGACTGACTCGAATCTCTAGAGAGAAACCCATCAGTCAACATTGGGTTGTAAAAATGAAAAACCAGAAAAGTCGTAGAACTATGAAAATATTCTACAGCTTGAAAAGGGGAGTAAAAAATAATGAATCAACTATTTATAAAAACTTTATTATGGAATATTTCAAGCATATACAAAAACAGAGAGAATAGTAATACAAACTCCCATATATCCATTAGCTTTGTTCCTTTTCATTTCATCAGAAACAAATGTTTTAAGGCTCTTGATGTATATATTAAAGTGCGGACAGTAGAAAATGGAGCTGTTTCCCGGTAGAATGAATCACAGTCTCATGGATCCTCTATAAAGTTGCTAGTAAAACACTTTCAAAGACAGGATTGTGGGGCTCGCCAGTTAGCTTGCTTAGTTAGAGCATGGTGTTGGTTTTGGATCCCCGTACTGGCTAGCTGCCAAAAAAACAACCCCCCCCCCCCCAAAAAAAACCCAGGATTGTGTCTGGATCTTACAGTGATCAGAGAAATGGTATGAATTTCTTTATCTGTAAGGTGAAAATAATGGTGATGGTGGTGGTGGTGCTGATAGCATTAAGCCCAGTTGTGAGATCATTACTCTGAGGCAGCTTTGTTGGTAATTTTTGGAACTGAGGCTGCAAACCAAAACTTGTGGCTCCAAATTTGCAGCTCTTTCTCCTCTATCACATTGCCTTTTTCAAAAATTGAGGTGTACACATTGCATTTTTAATCCTGTGGCTTAAACAAGTATAGAAGGGCATCCTGACTTGCTTAGAATGAACTGGAATATTCCACTTTACTTATGAAGTTAATAGCATCTGTTTTTGTAAACAAAAATAAGTTTTTACAATCCCTGGGGTGTCTCTGGATTTCCTTCTTATGTCTTATGACATACCCTTCATCAAAATGCTCCCTAACCTCACCAGACTAAAAATCCAATGCATACGTGACACTGGGATATTACAATACAAAGCACTTTGTTCTTGCACATGGCAAGTATGCTAGTGCTTACCATATATTTGTTTTTGAAGCAGGATTTTAAATTGTTATTTAGCATGAATTTATCTGGCATCTTTATTAAAACATTATTACACTGTGAGACATAAGCTTGTGTGAGTAATTGAAATTATACATCAAAGAAATAGTTGTTTGCTCTTTCTTCACCCCATGTGTGAGGCATATGTATTGAGTTTCTTGTTTACTGAGCCTGAAAAAATATCAATCAGGTTAATCAGGCTGGGAGAGTGGGATTGTACACAATATTGTCTGGGAAAGGGCTTGGTAAAGAGGAAATGTTACCCGTCAGGCTCTGAAACTTGAGCTGTGCCCCATGGTGAGCGGAGCTAAGCCCAGTAGTAAGAAACAAGGCCACCTGCTCCCCCTCTTTCCAATGGGAAAACATCTCTGCAGAGTGCTCTAGGCTAGACGGCCGTGACTTGATGGCAGAGCCAAGACTGCTTGTGGGATTGTCAGGGTCTGTGTGGTCAAGACCAGAGATAATCAGGAGAGTGATAGGTGTCTTAGTGGCTCCCCTACCTTTTAACATTGCTGCTCATTAAGAATTTTTTTTTTTTTTTTTAAAAGATGACCGGTAAGGGGATCTTAACCCTTGACTTGGTGTTGTCAGCACCACGCTCACCCAGTGAGCTAACCGGCCATCCCTATATGGGATCCGAACCCGTGGCCTTGGTATTATCAGCACCGCACTCTCCCGAGTGAGCCACGGGCCGGCCCTCATTAAGAATTTTTAACGATATTTTATTCCTCTGAGAGAGTCATATAATACCACTTCCAAAATAGCTTTCTGATTTTTGAGATATGAGTGGGACAAACTTTGCTATTCAGTATAAAAAGTAAAAATGGAGCAGAAGACTTGCCAAAAGCCTGGTTCTGACACGTTCCTCATCAGCTGCGATGGTCTTCAGAACTGAGAGCGTCCTGGTTTTGTTTTGCTGGGGAGTTGCTGTTGTGGTGATGGTTTGTCAGTCTACTTTTATCATGGCCTTGGGTGAACCAAAATGAGTTTTTGTCCTCATCTTAGAGTCAATGGCTTGTGCCTTAGGAAATTGAAGTAGTTGAGGATTGGTTGATCTCTGGATAGGGAAAACGCTGGGGCTCACTGAAGCCCTCTCCTAATGGGGCTATGGTTGGGGTTCCTCTCCGAGTTTAAAAGGGATCATCTTGTCTAATCTGCTCATTTTATAGATGAAGAAACAAAATGCTGTGGGTAAATACTTTCTCTGTTCCAGGGTCACAGACTATACTCCCTAATGACCAGTCACCTTATACTGGTGTGTTTACTACTTGCCAAAAGGAAAAGTAGGTGAGTTCTTTTTCAAGGCAGGTCTCAGATTGTTTCTCTTTAAGGACAATTGTGGCTGAGTACATTCCATTCCCTCTGGAGGGAGAGAGAATGCATAGAAAAAGGGGGGTCCTTGGGCCGGCCCGGTGGCGCACTGCTACAGTGCGCCACTTGGGAGCGTGGTGACGCTCCCGCCGAGGATTCGGATCCCACATACAGACCGGCCGCTCACTGGCTGAGCTAGGTGCGGGTGCAACACCAAGGGTTGCGATCCTGTTGCCGGTCCCGGTCTGGTAGGGGCGTGACACTGAGGGTTGCGATCCATTGCTGGTCACGAAAAAAGACAAAAAGGAAAAAAAAAAAAGTGGGGTCCTTATCTGGCCACATGAAACAAATGAAGCAGTTGGTAAGAAACTGAACATTGAGAACAGTTTGTACTGGAAAGATGGTTGAAGACTCCTATTCTAAGGACACGTGGAGAGGCAATGCACAGTGCTGAGAGAAGGGTGCCGAAGTTGCCTTCAGGCCCAGGACTCAAGTTGAACACCCTGCAGACATCTGCATGTGAGCCCTTTTCACATCCTATAGACAGTATGTGTAAAGTATAATTAGGGTAGCGATGGGCTGAGGGAGACCGTCTTAGAGTCCTTACCAAATTTCTGGCAGTGCCTTTTGAGTATTGGTGTCATTATGACCCAGTCAGGAGTTGGAGAAACTTTATTTGAGGAGGTTAGGACAGGGCCATCTTATTTCCCACACCACCTTTTCCATTGAAGGTGGTTGGCAAATATTTAATCAAATTTGACAATTTGGTGAATTTGGAACATTTAAAGATATATAATTATTGTGTGTCATGCATCTTGTTATTTTTAAGAGATAGGTTTATCTGTAACTCAACAAACGTGCTTATCTCAGAGGTCTTGGTGAATGACTGGGGCAGGGTGAGGGTCTGAAGTAAGGGTAGGTTGTGGGCTGGCTGGTTAGCTCAGTTGGTTAGAGTGTGGTGTTGTAACACCAAGGTCGAGAGTTTGAATCCCCATACTGGCCCATCCTCCAAAATGTAAGGAAAAGCCACATGGAGAAAGTGGCTTCAGCTAGAGACTCTAATGATGTGTAAGAGTTAGCTGTGCAAGGATGGGAGGATCAAGCATTTTAGGCAGAGGGAATAGCCAATGCAAAGGTGCTAAAGCAGAAATGAGCTTGGTATCTTTGAAGATCAGAAAGGCCAGTGTGGGGCCGGCCCGGTGGTGCACTGGAGAGTGCGCCGCTTGGGAGCACGGCGGCGCTCCCACCGAGGGTTCAGATCCCATGTGGAGACCGGTTCCCGCTCACTGGCTGAGCACAGTGCGGGTGCAACACCAAGGGTTGCGATCCCGTTGCCGGTCCCCGGTACAGGCGCGACACCAAGGGTTGCGATCCCGTTACCGGTCAGTAAAAAAAAAGGACAAAAAGGAAAAAAAAAAAAAAAAAAAAGAAAGGCCAGTGTGCGTGGAGCCTAGTGAGCAAGGGAGCAAGAGACAGGAGGTGAGGTCATAGAGACAGGTTGGAGCCAGGTCACATAGTAGCATTTTAAAGGCCATGGTTGAGGGGTGGGCCCGTGGCTCACTTGGGAGAGTGTGGTGCTGATAACATCAAGGCCACGGGTTCGGATCCCTATGTAGGGATGGCCGGTTGGCTCACGTGGTATTGTCAGCACCACGCTCTCCCAAGTCAAGGGTTAAGATCCCCTTATCTGTCGTCTTTAAAAAAAAAAGGCCAGTGGTTGGTAGGAGTCCGG